ATTGATATCGACGCGTGAATAAGTTTTGTTTCGATGTTTAGAAACCGGTGCATCGGTAGTGATTTAATTGTTGCAATTTATTTGTGAATTTCGTGTTTGAAGTTCCAAGTATCGGTGTTCGAATCATGCGGTAAATGTTGATTTCTAATCGATTTTTGATGAAGATCGATACATGGAACAATGCTGCCCGAATTGACAAATACTTGTAAATGTTGATTTAATTCTTGCTCGAAGCATGTTTGGCTTTCACTTGGTAATTGTTTGATGATGGAGTTGATTTTTATTGATTTTAATTCGACTTTTTCGAGCATTTCATGAGTTGATACAATGCTGTCCGGATTTGGAAATTGCACATGGAATTTGATTTAATTGTTGCTTAATGCACATTTGGTTTTAATTTGATGGATGTTTGATATTTATGTCGAGTTTGGTTGATTTGAACTCGATATTTTGAGAGTTTCATGAACCAAAACGTTGTTGCCCGGGATTTTGTTTTATGGCTCCGATACTTATTTGAAATTCATTTCTTCATGACTTAATTTCAATTCGAGTTGTGTTGTGATTGTGTAACTTTTCGGTTATCTTTTCTTGTTATTACTAAATCATTTTGTGGATTTGTGCAAGCTTCCAAATATGCTTCAAATGAACGATTCGACTCATTTTTCTATCTACATTTAGTCAATTAATTAATTCATGATTACTCGATTACTTGAGATTTGAGATCACTTTTGTTTGTCGAGATTTGAGTCTTATGCATGTTTATTATTTGATATGCGGATATGCTTGATGCACCTTCTGATAGTGATTTATTTTCACATTGATGATGCTTCATCGCTTATTCTGAGCATTCTATTTCTGATTCTTTTATTTGATTGGTGAGGCATTTGGAAGACCTTCGGGTTTCTTGCACTTTGTCACGCTTTGCGACAGACTTTGTTCGTTTGGTATTTTTCCTATTCTGTTTTGATTTCTTGTTTTCTTTTGATTTCCTTGCCATGAGAAGTAGGAATAGAGATGCATGAACTGAAGACCTACCCCCGTAGGCATTGCAAACTTGTTTGTTTACATTCTTGTTGATAAAAGACCTCAAAAAAGGGCAATTTCTTGTGTGTGCAAAAGACCTCAAAAGGAGCAATTATGTGTGTTTGTTTAAAGTCCTCAAAGAATATGTGTGTAAATTCCTCATAGAAGGCATTCCCCTCCCCTTTTAATTTGTGCTTTAAATCGAGTCAATAAAAGTGGAAAAGGCTCGCAATTGACCCCCACATTTCAAGTCCATTAGTCATTCTTAGCTCACGTGTACGTTGATGCTTTGAACCATTCTCCTTTTGTCCTTGAGTCAAGGAAAGTGGAAAGGGATCATAATCATCCCCCACACCTCGTCTAGATGGCACTCCAACAAAAAATTATTACAATGGAATGTTAGCGTGTATACATGGAATGGAGGTTGAAGATGAAGAGCAAACGTAGGCTAATTTTATGTATCACCAAGTTGGAATGATGCATGAATGATGTATTTATAATTGGGACCTTTTTAGGCAAAAGAGGAAAGTTGAGAATGAAAAAATTATTTTAAAAAATGACCCACAAAACAATATGTGTCAACCTGAAAAAATTATGTGTCGACACATGCAAAACAGTAGCTACATGCTTTAAAAATTTAGGACATGTGTTGACGCATAAATCGTATGTGTCGGTGCATAAGTCGTATGTGTCGGTGCATAAATCGTATGTGTTGACACATACTGATGTTTTTCAGAAATTGCAAAAATGTTGATTTTATGTGTCGACACAAAGAAGTTTCAGGTCGACACATAAACATGTTTTTTGTGCAAAAACTAATTTTTCATGATTGAGACCAATTTTAAACTTGTTTTAAATTATTCCTAAGACCTCTAATGCAATGGAGTGCCACATGACATAAAGATATCATCCAATATACATTAATGTAAAGTTTTCCTAATTTTGACATCATGCAAAATATCTAATGGTGAAGTTGCACTCACACATGGATAAAGAGTTATCTAGTCTTTACTTAAGTATGAATATTAGGAGTAGAATTTATACTACATAGAATTTTACGTAAAGTGTCATAAGTTATTCCCATGCAGATAGTGGTCTACACCACCCTTCGACCTGAAACCACTATGAACACTAATATGAAGTCAAGTACTTTATTGTTGATCAAATATTGTTCGTTAATGGATTACCATAAAGACAATTGATGGATACTCCAGGAAATCATGTTGAATGACATGAGTGACCTAGATGAAATTTGTACATCCTGCATAACAGGATAAATGTCTAAGGGTCCAATATTGAATTGGACATAGCTGATATGATTTATGCATGAGGGCAAAAGGATAAGGATAATTGTACATAACAAACATTATCTGGCCACCTCAACTACTGTCCATGTAACAATATATCCTTTATGAATCAAATTGAATTCTTTTCCCAAGTTTCACTGTTGCAACGATAATTTCAAATTGGTGGTTTTTGGATAGTAAATCTTCCTAAGTTGCTCTTTTATGTGGATTTTTATGTTATCACCAGCCTTTAAAAATATCTCTTGAATCACTTTTCATTTGGCCAAGATAGATATATTAGATTTACTGTCCTTCATAACATCATCATCATTATACCAGAGCCTTTTCTAGTGGGTGTAAATCCCATCCATTCATATTAGGCTATCAAGTTTAACCTTCTTTGAAATTAAACTAGCACATGGAAGACTACATGTCTTCCTAAGTGTACAATCACACTTTGAGCTGTCTGAACCTATTTTCAGCTCGTTTGCCTTCAAGAAAAATAAAATTCAATTTTGCTCTATATATATTGTCCACCAATTGTGAATACATATTGTTGTCTCTAAATCTCTGTTCTAAAATTATAATGTTGCGACAAAATGATCTTTGTATCTCATTATGTTGATTTTGAATCATTTGGTTCACAAAGTCTCAATCTCTATATAAATTATCTTTACAATTTCCCAACCAATTCTTCAATGTAACATGGGTAGATTCAACTCAGTTAGTTGTTGTATTTCTAAAGTATCTAACTTGATCGATCCAAACACAAACAATCTTCTCATTCACCTGGTCTAGAATTGTACTTTCAACATATTTCATGAAATCCAGATATTGTATAATTGTTTGATCTGTGAGATATTTTGAGGTCACAAACATTGAAAATTTCTTGATATTTGAGATATTTTGAGGTATTTTCTGTTTTAAAATTGCAAATATATTTTTAGGCTGCACCATGTCCAATGTCATGTTAGAAACGATTTCCTTCTCGTCACCCTTAAGGCAACATGCAGTGGAATTATCAACTAATTTGTGAAACATGTCATGATTATGTATACCACAAATCACATTAAATCTTCATGTAATATTTTCCATAAGATATCCATGCAATTTAGTAAGACACTCACATTTCCTTGAATCGATATCATCCCATTTTAATTTCCAAATAGGATTTATATACTTATCACTTATTTCACATCTTAGTGTCACATATGTATTTCTTCTATCTGAACAATTATATGACCTTTCAGTTATAATGTTGAACCCAAATTTAGAAGCCTCTATGTGGATCCAATGGAGCATATGATCACGAATAACAAATTCATGTTCATTTGTAAATTGTTTGTCAACATCTACCTTGACATCAATCAATTTGGCATCCGTAGACACAATTGGCTTTGGGATAACTTCAGGGTGTACCATATATAAGGCCAATCATGATAGAAAATATTCAAAAATTAATCCAGAAAATAGAGCTTTGGATGACATTCATCAAAAATTCTAAACTATATTTTGGACACAACGTTCATATTTTTAGAAAGAAATCTAGATTAATGTAAGTAACGACGAAGAAAAATCATGTATGTTGCCTTTAATTCTAGTAGGATAGTTAACTTAATTGAAAAGGATGATTAATTCAATTCATACAATTTTTATAAAATTAATTTAATTCTCACCTGAATTGTTCACATTTTTACAAATAATTAATTTGATGTCGCACAACCAAGTTATGTGATGACAAGTGTCTCATCAATAAATTCTTCTAAAGTGAGGACATCACAACCACTAGAAGATCTCACAAGAGTGAAGACAACTCTTTAATGTACTCCTTCCATTCTTTTTTATAAATATCTTTTGATTTTTAGGTTTATAGAATAATTGATATTGATATATTTAATTTAAATATAGTCTAATTATTTTATTTATTAAATGAATTTAAAAGTCAAAATTTATTTATAAAAGAAACCGAGAGAATAATTTGTAAGTGTGTACAATTCAACAATGAGGCTAATAAATAGTGTTTTTTGATACAATTCATTCATGTTCTTCTAACGGTCTTTTAGCCAGTTTTCAACTGGAAAGAGTCAGAGAATGATCTGGTTTTCAATCTTGTTACCATGACATGCAATGTAACTTAGCAAGTAAGGTTCTCAACTTTACTTCTCAAAATGTGTTCAATCTCTATGAATTTATGACTCTTTGTCTTTTTTGCCCCAACCTCAATTTGTAGTCACAAATTTCACATGTTAGATAGTAAATCAAGAATTCAAGAAACATCCTGCAAGAGATGTATATCCTGAATCAAGTACTGATTACATCTATTTTTATACAAGAAAAACCTATAATACCTTTACATGATAATGAATGAAAAAATACTACAAAAAGAAACACAAAAAATACACTAAATAAATCACTCTCAGTTAGCTAGTAGTGATGTTACTATATGAGATTTTAAAAATAACCGAAATCGGAATGTTGACAGTATGACCTTGATTACCAAACAGTCCAATCTTCCCAAAGCTCGCAACAGAATTATTCGCGGTTGCGTTCAAGATCACGGATAAGACTTGTTTTTCGCCGTTGGCAATAGAAAAGTGAGTTGGAGTTACTTTCACCGAAACACCGAAAGGAGCGGTCCAACCAACACTGTAAGTTTCATTATTTCCAGCAATGTTTTGAACTGTTCTCCGTACAACTGTGGACTGGTTTAGCTTTGATAAAGTGATTGAAGGCAAGTTTAGATCAGGACCGTGAAGAGTTGAGTTATAAAGCAAACAATTTTGACCGGTGAAGTTTAGTACCACCGGAGCTGAACCATTGATGCCACATAAAAATGACATGTAATCATCGTAACCTACAAAGAGACGTGTCCATTAATAACCTGCATAAAGATAAAATGAGAACTTTTATTGAAATGTGATTACTATAACGATATAGTGACTTACTGGTATCGAGAATCAAACCGGGATTCAATGCTCCGGTTGCATTCACAAAACCGCTTCCCATGTCAAAAGGAGTAGCCGAAGTTTGGCTCAGATCTGGAAAGGCGTATGATCGTTGAGCCATAATCGGCCCGCCGCTCTTATCATTCTGAGAAGCAGTAGTAGAAAGGGCCGAACTGATAGCTGCAGGACTGAAATTCGGAAACTTTTGCTTAATCAGCGCAGCAAGACCTGCAATATGTGGTGCAGCCATACTTGTGCCAGACATCATTGCAAAATTCTCCCCTGATAAGAATGCAAATAAAATATTTACATTTCATACTATCATGTTTGTTTCACGAAAAAAAAATCATGTTTTTACAAACCTTGAAATTCAACCGAGTCAGTTCCAAGAGAACTCCAAGCTGCCCATATAAAGTTTCCGGGAGCTAACAAGTTAGGTTTCAAAATGTCGGCTTGGCGAGGAAGACTGTCCTCTGGATCTGGGCCTCTGGCAGAGTAATACATAACCTTTGGGGAAGCAGCACTGTAGTTTGCTTTTAGTCCACCACAGATTGCAGCAACTGCCCCAAATTTAACAACTTTCTTCGAAACCACGTCTATTTCCAACGAAGAATTGTAGTATTGCATCAAAATCTGACCGGTTGAAACAAAGATGAAACTATCAGCAGGTCATTCCTCACAGGTAAAAGAGGGACAATAATGGAGAAAGTACCTTTGAGTCATTTGTAGATGGAATTATTATGCCAGGCGTTTTCATTGCCACTGGGTTAAGCTGAAAACCGATCACGTAAGGATCCATATAGAAGACAACACCAGCTGCACTATGGTTCTTGGCTGTTTCTGACGCTCGTTTGATGGTGGAAATGCCGAGCACAAATCGAATTGAATAGCTGCAGATCAGAAGGTTCCCTTTGATCAAATCGCGATTGTACTTGCTTGTATCTTGGCACTCACCAACATACATGTCATCAGCGACCGTTGTGTCATTGTTCAAAGCATCATGCGCGTGAATCAGTTTGTAAAGTTTGTTTTCGTCCGTGCCAGCTGGGGAAAATAATCAAAAGAAAAATAACAAAATTGAAACCATTCATTCCTCGACTAATTTGGAAAGTGTTAACCATGAACAGAAAAACATTAAACTTACGTGCAAGTCCAACTCCCAGTATGGTAACATTGTTTCCGAGAATTATAGAGTTACTATAAAGCCGATCATGAGAGGCAGCACCAACAGTAAGGATCCATGGACTGAAAGAAGACATGCTCATTGGTGATGGCCCGGTATTTCCAGCAGCTTGAACCACAAAAATACCGGCCTTTACAGCTGACAGTAACGCCATGTCTATAGGATTGAAGAAAGTTGCAACACCCGGAGGACGCCTATTTGGAGTGATAGATAAACTAATTATGTCAACACCATCTTGAGCTGCCTGTAAATAATTGATCAATCATACATACTATTATTATTAGACTTCGACGAAAAAGCGAAAATTGATGCAATTTCAGAAAGATGACTTGTTAGTGCAACATAAATCTTTTTTTTCTGCACATAATAATAACTCATTAGATTCGATATCAACGTGTATTAAGTAATTATCAGAGCATATGTACCTGGTCAATTGCTGCAACAACATCTGCAGCAAATCCTCCAAAGCTCTTGTATAACGCCTTGTACACCGCAATGCTGTACAAAATTGAAATGTAATTACATAAAGATGAGACGTAGTAGAATAATGAACGACTCTATAATGTCGTGTATAACTCTGGATGCGAAAAATTGCTACAAGTGTTAAAAGTAATAATAATATGAAAAACTAAACAACTTAGACATAGTTCAACATTATTTACTGTGAACGAGGAGCCATCCCACTAGCATTGCCAAAGTGATGTCCAGCAACAATCACCGGAATCCCATGGTTTCCTGCTGCAACCGATGCAGTATGCCTGTGTATTACACACACATCAAAATGGACATTTAGTCAAAGGAGAAGAAAATTCAAAAAAAAAAAACTTATTTTATGGCGTGCATAATCAAGTAAAAACAACTAATTATGTTGCGATCGGAAGCAGTTTGACAACATTTTCATTTTCAAATGACGGCTAAGATCATCTGAGGCATCACAATTTCAGAACAACACTAAAAAGTTATTCTTTTTTATTCCAAAAAAATGTTGAAAGATCCAATCAACAAAACAAAGCACCTTAATCCTTAAAGTTCTCAAAACAACCATAAATAGAAATTAAACCTAATTCATAGATGTTAAAATAGACAATGAATGGAATTGATAGAATAGACCAATTAATTTAACAAGAGCAATTAAAATCAAACATAAGAGAAACTGATCTCAAAATGCCAAAAACTCACGTGCCATGGCCATCGCCATCAAAGGGAGATGCATAGTCTTGAGTCAAGTTAAATATTCCTCTTGTTATTGCAGATGCTGCAAAATGACGTGCCCCAACAAGTTTCCTATTGCAAGAGCCAGAAGGAAAATCTCGAGTAACCTCGCAGATACCAGAAAAATGAGCAGGAATAGGATATGGGTGTTGTTGAGATATATTATCGCCAAAACTAGGGTGCGATGGATCTATTCCAGTGTCAACAAACCCAATAACAACTCCTTCTCCAGCCGTATCAAAACCACCATTTTGAGACCATGCTCCTTGTGGCAGACCCAAAAATTGTGGAGTATGTGTTGTTGCTGTTCTAACAGAAAAATCCAAAACCACATTAGACACTTCATTGCTCCTTGATAGTCTCTCTGCCTTCATGAATCAGTAAATCCAAAAGTCAAAAATACAATTATTGAATTAAATTAAATCAATAAAAATAATTGGAAGTGGCAGTGTTGAACAATGTAGCAGCGACACTTCTCATTAGAGGTGTGTGTATTTTGTATGAGGGACACCAACACGAGATGTGGTTACGTTCAATTATTCTATTTTATCAAATTATTACTGGTGTTAATGTGTCAGTGTCATGTTTGTGTCGGTGCTTCATAGGTGATGAAGCCAAATCATAAATAGGAAGAAAAAAACAAATAAACATGTATATAGCATATACAAAATATGGACATAATGATGATGCTAAAATCTAACATTTCATAACTGTTGAACTATGTAGTTCCGACACTTCACCTTTAAATCTAACATTTCATAACTGTTGAACTATGTAGTTCCGACACTTCTCATTAAAGGTGTGTACAGACAAGACACAAGATGTGGTTACATTCACATTCCATTATACTATTTTCTCAAATTATTTTCGGTGTTAATGTGTCAGTGTAGTGTCTAGTCTATGTGTCGATGCTTCATAGGTGATGAAGCCAAATCATAAATAAGAAGAAAAAAACAAATAAACATAATATGGACATAATCATGATGCTAAAAAGTAACATTTCATACCTGCTGTTGGGTAACAAGCACAGCAAATCCATTAATCAGGTAATGGTAGCTATAGAGTTTCAGATATTTCTCTCCTTTCAACACTTTCTTCAACAAAGAATCGTGCTCGCGCGTAACATAAGAGCCATATCTCTTATCTGTCTTTGTAATATTGCCATATCTATGAAAAAAAGAGCAACAAAAACAACAATGGATTTCTTAAACAAACTCAAAAGTCTTGAAATTAGGAAGTAAATCAAACATGATGATGATGATGATGATGCAAAGTACTGAAAAATTGAGAACACCTAATGACATAAATTAACAAATAAAATGACTCAATTCAAACATAAAATCCAACAAGATATCATTTATAGATGATATAAGCAATCATTTAACTAAAAATTATCATCTTATCAAAAAATAGTGCATAGCTTCCACAAGAAGCCTAATGATTTGGGATAAAACAAAACCCCCCAAAGAATTGAAAAAAGCTAAACATCTTGATCCACAAGAATTAAGAACAAACAATCCAAATCACATGCAACAAAATTACAAACCCCAAATAAAAAGTACTAAATAGGATTAAGTTAAAAGAATGATATAATACCTTGGTTTCTGAAATTGAGTTCTTCCATTATCTTTGAACCCATTATTATTACCATCATTCAACCTTGTCAAAACACCATAAGAATGAGAAGTTGGAGCTTGTTTTAAAGTAACAACATAGACAGAAGTAGTAGCATTATCCAGAACATCTTGTAGGCACAAACAAGGGACAAGAATTATTAAACTAAACAACACAAAATGTGTCAAATGATGTTTTTCCATCAGGGTTTTAAGGAAAACTGAAGAAGAACAAGTTGAATCCAAAGCAAACCCAACAAGTATGAAGAAGAAGAAGAATAGTTCACAAACCCACATGCATCATTGTCAAGTTCAAGACTGTGGAGGTTCTAAACACTAAAAAAAGCAATGTGATTTGTTTGAGAGAGATAAAGTATGAAACTTGAGAGAGAGAGAGAGAGAGAGAGAGAGAGAGAGAGAGAGAGAGGTGTTGAGTTTAGTAAAGATTGGAGAATCTGGAAGCAAAGGGTTTTGTGAAATTTGAAGTTTTATTATTTATTATTTTGTTTAATTAATTGAAGAAGAAAAGAAGAAGAAAAAAGAGAATGGAAAAAATGAACGTTTGATTTGGATTTATTCGGTTTTGGAGATTTATGGGTCGTTGGTTGTCGACATTTGTATGTTGGGGTGTACCCGTGACATGTGTAAATGATGACAACAACATTTTTGTTTCTTTTTTCTTTTTTTCTTGTTTGTTTGTACTTTAGGTTTTTTTTTCTTCTTAACATGTTGAAATTATTGTACTTTTCAAGTTTTATTTTTTTTACAGAACTTTTCAAGTTTTACTATATAATACGAACAAACCGGATTATATTTTGGGAAAATTGTGTATTATTTTACAGAACCGACACTCTCAAATAGTTTATCAAAAAGGTATTTCTGAAATTGTATCTTATATTGATCACATTGATTTGATTTGGACATTGCCTCCTTCTTTTTTAAAGATTATTATCTTAAACTAGTTCTTCAATTTTAGATTATTTTTATCAAAAAGCCGTCTTTTATATATATATATATATATATATATATATATATATATATATATATATATATATATATATATATATATATATATATATATATATATATATATATATATATATATATATATATATATATATATATATATATATATATATATATATATATATATATATATATATATATATATATATATATATAGTGTTGGTGGATTTGTAAGGTTAACACTTCAACGTCTAAGTCAATTTTCTTTATTCAAGTAATGTTATTTATATAGTGGACGAAATTTGGCCTTCCTTGTATTAGGTATATGGTCTGCCCATAACAGTTGCGTCTTAGGTTTGCTATAGCGTGGTGATGGATAAGGAAGTCTTCCAAAGAGTTGGGTCGGGTACCTTTAGTTGTGATCTCGTGTTGAGAAGTAAAAAGACCCGAATACGACTTCATTATATGTTTATCTCATCATTGAGACGTTTTCTAGGTTTCTTCACACGTAACCCTAGATTTATAGTTTAGGGTGTGATGTTTCTACCTAGGGCAATCGAGTGCACTCAAATATTGTTACATTTTCGAGGTATCATTTGAATCGTTGATATTTTACCTTTCGTTTACTTTCATTTTGCAGTGTTGATTTGTTTCATTCATTTCGCTATATAAGGGTTGCTTTGACTTTTCAAACAAATTTACATTCCCTCTCATCACTGTGTTTACCGTGAAATTTGATAAACAACCGCTGGTCTTCCAAATCGAATAAAAATTGGTAACTTGCAGGATCGACCAGATTGATCTTAAGTACATGTGTTCTCATTCAAAACTTATATTCCTAAAACGAAGATTACTTTTGACAACATTCTTATTCTTTTAATCAAAGTTGATTTCAATTGTAACTTCGTAAATAATAAGGTAATGCTTTTTAAAGAAAAGACTGGAATATAAAGAGATTTCGACTAAAATTTAAAGAAATGTATAAAGCTTTCAATTAAAGTTAAATAACAATAAACATAAAATTGGTGCATCATATGTACATCCTCACAAACTCGTTTCTCTAACGCTGGTATTTTGAGTAATTTTGAGTATTTTGTACAAAGATGTGAACACACTGAATCCTAACACTAAGACCCCTATTTATACTAATTTTGACCAAACAGACTCTAAATAAGATGTTGCCACATTTGACATCTGCATGTGCCTTCAAATTTTATGCCTCCACGCGTTCCTTTGGATAAGATCAAACTTTTGAATTTGAAAAACTCTTTGTCTTTGAAGCGCCAAACGTGACGGTCGAAATAAGCTTAATGATACTTCGAATAACTTGAAATCTCTATGGTTCGCATACGAACCTTTTGCTAACACTTAGCAAAAACAAAACTTTTATTGGCTCTTCATATGTCAAAATCTTCACACAAACTCCTTTATTCTTTCTCTCGAACTATATTCTCCAAAATATATCATTTCAGCTAAAACCCATGTAGTCGAAATTTCCAGTCAACAAATTGCCCCCAATAAATGTGTGTTTCAAATTTCTTGGAGAAACATACATTTATTGCAAAACAATTATATTTCAACAAACATACAATCTTCATGGTAGACAATAACTGTTATGGCGTCAAGCCAATCATGACTTACTTTTTCAAAACGTCTAATCAAGACGTGCGTGCAGCAGTTCCATCATTTGCTACAAAAGTAGGTTCCCAATGTGGCTTTTAAACAAGCAACCTCGTATATCAGCTTATCATAGATCACCACGTGTCCCGCTAACTCCAAAATTTTAAAATATAAACTAAACAATTTCCAGCTTATAAATATCCTTGTTCTTCTCCAAATACACTTTTTCATCAACTCTATCTTCTAGTTTTCCAAATTTTACACTCCCTCTTTCTTAAAAAAAAAAAAACCCTTCAAATAATCAAGAAATTGAATCTGTCAATCATGGCGCCATCCAAAAAAGGAAGCAAATCCAACAAAAAATGTGAAGAACAAGAAAGTGAAGGACACAAATGATGCTGCATTCCAGCTGATTCATCACATCTCAAAACCCCTTCTTGTTGGAAATCAAGAATTGGTTCCAACACCACACATTTATGCTGAACAACAAACAATTTATGCTTGTTAGGTAATAATTCCTTTTACTCATGTAGATAAAACCCTAGGGTATATGGGTCCTTTGATGTCTTTTAAATGTTTAGAGCAAATCGAGAAAAATTTTCTTGTTTACTACGATACAAAACCCATTGTTAACAAAGCCAAACCTTTTAAGAAGAAAGACAGCAACCCTGATAAACAATTAGCAGAATCATCTGTAGAGAAAACCCAAAAAGGTTAAATTTGCTGATGATCTTCCTGATGGTGATGAACCTCTTACTGATGATGAAATTGCATCGTTCTTTGCTAAAGATGTAGAAATAGTAGTAGTAGTAGTAGAAGAAGAAGAAGAAGAAGAATAAAACCAAGGGGTAGAAGACAAAGATCCTCAAATCCAAGCTAGCTCCCAAGACAACATGACTTCTGCAAACCAACAAACCCAACACAATGCTTCGCCATAACTCTCTCAAGAAACACTGGATGCATTAAAGAAAGATAAGTCTCTTGAATATGTAAGGCTAATGATGGCAAAAAGGGCACCATTTGCCCAAAAGACTTGCCCCAATGCATCTGCAACTTCGAGTGGGAGTTCTCAAACTAAAACTAATGAGCAACTTCTCCTGAAAATCAAGAGTAAGTCTTCAAAGATGATTTATTTGAAGTCTTGAAGGATAATTTTACTACAAGTGTTGTACTAAAGAAGTTGATAAACCAAATCGACATAGTCACATGCCCTACTGAGACTGCTGAAATTCTAATGGACGTGACCATATTAATTAACACAATCAGTGCAGATTTTCTTAGGGAACGGGACGTGACCTTGAAGCTTCAAGAAAAACAAACTTTGCAAGAAACTTAATGGTCGAAGGCTCTTGACTCAATGAATAAGGCTGGGAGACTTGGCAAAGAACTTAACAATGCCAAAGAAGAGTTTGAGACCAATATTCGTTCTATTTCCTTCTGGAAAGAACAAATCAAGGAGTTGACAGAAAATATTTCCCAGACAGAAGCGCGCCAAAAGGCTATTGAGCAGATGGATCACACTGAAATGGAATGAAAAATTGCTCAAAGTGTGCAATATGTGGATGCAACCAAGAAACTTGAAAATGAAATAACTGCTCTTCATGCCACCAAATCATCCATCAACTTTAGGTTGAAGCTGACGAAGACAAAATATGACAGAATGGGGGCTAACTTGCCTTTCTAAATCTTTTGAAATTCTGACACATTGTTACTTGTATTTTGTGCAATTTTCCTTATGTAATTTTAAGACAAAGCCATTTTTTGGCACTCTATGACACCATTTTGGCCTTTTTATTTTGTTAATTTTACTATTTTGTCGAAATCTTTAGTTCTTGAAGAATAGGTTTGTATCTTTTTAAGTACTTACCATTTATCTTCGAAATCCTTCGATCTTCTGCCAATTTTTCTATTTCATAGGCGTTATTTGTGAATGTTTAGATAATTAGAAAAAGTCCTTCCCAATATAGAGACCATTTTCCCAATAACTTATTCTTTCAATCCATGGCAATATTACTTTCCACACCAAATCATCATTCGAAAAAACTTTTCCGCTGACTCTTTTATTGTATGCTCTAGCTATCCTCTCTTTTTGCCTTCTCAGGACCTCTAAGGCATACAGCCTTTCTTCGACCAGATCAACTAGTTCATTTATCATCATTTCCAATTAATATTCGGAAGGAATTTTGTTCTTCCTCTGAATTCTTACAGATTATAAATATATTTCCACTTATAGAACTACATCATGCCCAAAATTCAAATGAAATAGAGTTGTGTTTATTGCTTCTTTTGGCAATGTTCGACAAGCCCACAAAGCTTGATCCAAGCTCTTATGCCAATTATTTGGTTTTATCCCTACATGTATTTTTATTAAACCAATAATTACATTGTTTGCGGCTTCGACATGTCCATTCGCCTGAGCATAATAAGGTGTAGAAATCAATAATTTAAACCCCATCTCCTTAGCAAATTCCTACATATTTCGACCAGTAAAGACTGATCCTTGATCAGTTGCAATTGTTTATGGGATTCCAAATCTATAGGATATATGTCTTTGGATAAATTCGATAATACTCTCTTGATCTATATTTACCAAAGGTATTGCTTCAATCCGTTTTGTA